AAAAAAAAAAAAATTAATGCCAGAAGAACTATGCACAAACAAAACCAAGAATTACATTATAAACACAATATTTCTTCATATTTTTGAATGTACTATGCATAAACAAATCAAAGAATTACATTATATGGTTTCATAAGAAATATGAAGTAATATTCCCTCTATTACTTCTGGAGTTGGGGCCCTCCCTTGCCGTAGGGGCCGTCGCTGCTAACAACAATAACACCCTTTGTGCCTTATTTATTTCTTTCACTCACATTTTTCTTTGTTAGTTTTTCTTTTAGTCTTTCCTCTACAACTCCCAGTTTACTGGCTGCTACTACTATAAGGATTTGTCTCATACCCAATTTTATATCCACTATTGTTTGCTAGTTGTCCTACCCTTTCCGCTTCAATTCACATTGACAAGTGTCCAATATTTTCCACATTGCAAATCAGGAATAGGGTACAGATGGCCTTGTTCAAATACTCCCCAACAGTGGCCCTTGTTCCCAGTTATAGTAATTAATTAAGTAATATTGTAATTTTCTTTGTGCTTATTTTCCTCAACTCATACGATCTATATAATGTGAAAGTCAACAACTTTTGTTGAGTTATGATGAAGAAAGTGAACTTTTGTATTAGATGATGCGCAGTAGCAAGGCTTCATATCATTGTCTTCCCCTTTTTACGTTTTCTTTTTCGCTTTGGTGTTTATCATTGAAATAGCAATCTCTGTTGTGCTTTTTGGGTCATACTTGTTCATAATATAATTACGAGGAATTTGCACCTCATGTCTCATACCAACTATCATTTTTTATATTACACTAGAAAGTGTACGTGCGATGCACGTGGTGGAAATATCGTTTTGCTAATTAAGTTCATGAGGAGATGTTTGTTTCAGGGTGCTAAGTTTTCTTAAACTCGCTTTTAATAGAAAGTATGAAGTGGTCATAAGTTCTTAATGTTCCAAGGTAGTAGATGAAATTTTTTAAAAATGTAAAGTAAATGAACTACAATAAGAAAGTAACTAAAGGTTGTTCAAGAATGTTCTTAAATTTAAATGATATAGATAGTAAGTACGATCTTCAACTCTTCTCTTTCTTTACGTTGATGATCGGAGAGGATGGTTTCTTTTCCTTTCCTTTTGAATTTTTCCGCACACATTTCTTTTTAAGAGTGCTAATTGTTTCATTATCCTCAATTTCAATGACACTATCATTGTCGTATTCCTTTATCTTGTCAGCGGCACGCTTTCTTCGTTGAACTTACTTTTTCTGTGACGCCCCTTGGTTCTTTTGCAGATGACTTGGAGATGACAACAATAACATAGATAACAATTATGGACAAAGAGTATATATTTTCTTCCTTTACAAATTTATGATGTCTTATTAAATATTGGTACTAAATTGTATACTTCTAAAACACATATATAATAGAGAAACTTCCATAAATATGCTTCCGACATACAATATTTATAATTTACAAATTGTTAAGAATTATAACAAAGTTCTAAATTAAATGTATTTATAGGTATCGATTACCGTCTAATGAATTTAGGCTTCATAAGGTTATAACTGAGTCCTTGGGTGGTTGGGATGTGGTTGGTCGGCCGGTGAGTCGCCGACGGGACCATAACCGAGCCTAAGAAGGCTATCAAGGCCGAGTGCCTCGTAGCAATTAGAATTGTCTAACCGACGTGCGTTAGCACGTATCCCAATGTATATCGTCATCCCGCAAACGTGTCGCACTCTCGTCCAACTGTTGGAGTCGAACCACCGAGTGCGTGCCCGTGCACCGAGTCAGAGTCAAACCATCCGATCCACCGTCTACGCGCCGTTTCCGTTAGCCGTGGTCCAAACACGCCTTTGCGTCAGTGACCGTGGCACCGTTTCAAACCCGTGCATTAACTAAGCGTATAAATTCTAAACTAATTTTTGAATTTTTTTATATTCAAATTTCACATAGGTGACTGTCATATTATAATCAATATTCATTATATATATGTATACTATGTAAATCTTCTCCAAAAAATTTAACATGAAATAATGTCTTAATTTAGACTTATAATATTTTAGATATTTTTCAACGTATACAATTTTTTTTTTACACACTGCACATACATATGTACAAAATAGTTTAGAAAAATCATGACTTCATATCTTTCATACAGATGTCAAAAATGTTGTTCGACACGTTTTCTTTACAAAATAGCTTACAAAAATATTAGGTGACTTCACATCTTTCAATAATAATATAGAAAATTTTACCTATTTTTACATATGTTATATATTTTTTTGAGTGTTTAATATTTTAGACATACGTTTTTATGTTCTTTTATAATTTTAAATTGGAAATATGTTCTTTTATAATTTTAAATTGTTTACAAGTTATATCACTTTTTAACCCAGTATCTTTAATTTATAATTATTGTTTGATATTGTTTACTTACATCTTTAATTTATAATTATTATTTAATATTATTTATCCATGAATCAGACAGACTAGTTTTATG